AATTCTCGTTCTGTTTTGAAGCTACAAACGGTGGAATTTGCTAAGGATTTGCATGTGAGTTGTGAAAGAAAGAGAAGTCAAGGATGACTTTAGGATTGTGACCTGATCAACAAAAAAGCTGTATGTGCCACCATTTGATTTGAAAGATTTAGAGAGGAAGTTTAGGATTCTGTGTGGACATTGGAAATATTAGAAATAAAGACAGAAAGTTGAAAGAAGATTTGAGTGACACTTGGAAGATTTCAGGGATAACAGTGAGGCTGGTGTGGCTGAAGGGCAGTGAGGGAAGGGATGGTCTCAGAAGATGACATCCAAGAAGCCCCAGGGGCTTTTGGATTTTATTCTGAGTATGATAAAAGGGCATTTAGAGTTATGAATACAGAAGAAACAAGATTTGATCTATAACTGAAAAAGATTACTTTTTTCTTGGGGTAGATATTTAAATAGTCTCTGTCCTGTTTTTCTTGGGAAGAAGGAACTAAGTTCATTTATTTACTACAAAAATATCTATTGCCCTAGAAGGTATATTAACATCAGTATTTTTTGAAATATAATGACATTATTATCCACAAACATAAGCAGTGGCCTTTAAATGAGACCTAAATGAAACTGGCTGACAGCCCAATTCAAAATCAGAGAAAAACTCTAAAAGTAATTCAGTGTATTTACCTTTATTAGTCCTTAAAAATGTAAATTTTGTTTTGTATAATAATACCACACGTGTTAACAGCTGGTGTGAGTGTCTTCATTTTCATATTGATTTATTGAGTATTAAGTTATATCAAGTCTTGAATCTTAAGTGCAAGTCTTGAATCTTAAGTGTGATATTGATAAATATGTGAAAAGTTCACATGACTTTTCTAGGTCAAGTAAAACGGCATTTTACATAGAGATTATAAAAAATGATTGCAAGCATGAATTTAACTACAGTTATTTCAAGGCAAGTAAATATCTTGGACTATAACATGATTTATTCAGTAATATTTATTAAGATATATACAGGTTGCAGTAAGTTTTCTCACTTATACAGTTTAGTGGATTGAAAAACATGATCACAAAATTTTGTAGCTCCTCTGATCAGGAGATAGAGTCTATTTTAACAGCCACCCCTCCAAACTGGGCTAATCTAGTGACTTGCTTTGGCAAATAGAATGGGGCAGATAAAGCTTGGTCTAAAGAAGACTTTCAGTTGCTATCAATGCCCTGAGACAATAAGGAAGCAGGTTGAATCTACTGGAGGATGAGTGGTCACATGGAGTAATAACCAAGCAAGAAACACAGACAACAATGAAGACTGGTCATTTGGCACAGGAGTGAGGCCATGTTGGACTTTTCATTCTAGCCAGACTTCCAGCTCACTGCAGCCATGTGAGTGAGCCCCAGAAAACCAGAGAAACTTCCCAACTACCACACGGAATCATGTGAAATGATAAATTGTTATGGTTTTAAGCCACTGAGTTTTGGGGAGTTTGCTATGCAGTAATAAAAAACAGGAACACATGAATGAACTGCTTTCTGGAGTTTGTTTGCATACATTATTTGAATATGGTTTAAGCAGGTGTTTTTAAAAATTCTTTTAGCAGTTAGTTAATGAGTGACTACTAAGCACTTTGTGCTAAAGCTCTAGGAAATAAAAATGTAGGTGTAAATAGTGTCAGTAGGGTAAGTACATACTAAACTCTAAAAATAGGTATCATTGTAAAAGTTAACCTATAGGAGACATGAACTCATATGTGCTCTAGGAACTCAGCTGGAAACTTCTGGAATTCCTTGAACTTAAGATTCGGTGAAGTCTTTTTGAGGGAAGTCATTTTTGAGCTAGAGTTAAAAAAATGGGAATCACAGTTGGTGTTGTGGAGAGAGGGCTTCAGATGTAGGAAACAGATTGGGCAAAAGTTGATATCAAGGGTAAGGATATATGCTATGATAGGTAAATCATCCAAATAGTAAGTGAAGGGGAAATAAAGGGAGAGCAAAATTTGAGAAAAACCAGATTAGATCCAGATGCTGGAATCTAATTAATTCTCTATGTACCATGTATCTATTGCCATATAACAAGCCACCTAAAAGGTAGTGGCTTAAAACAGCACAATTTGTTGTTTCTCACAGATCTGTGGTTGATAACCAGGATAGTTTTTCTGCTGGTCTTACTTGCAGTTATTCTTGCTAAGTCATCTGATGGCTGGAATTGGAGTATCCAAGATGGCCGACTCTTATGTCTGGCAGTTCATGCTGGCTGTCAGTTGGGACTTTTTTTTTTCCACAAGCCTCTCCTTCAGTAGATTATATCAGGCTTTTTTACAGCATGGTAATCTCAGACTTCTAAGACAGCAAGAACAAAAACTTTAGGGTCTTGTAAGTTCCATACTCTGCAATCCACACACCATCATTTCTACAATATTCTGTTGGTCAAAATAAGTTATTATGCTGTTCGGATGCAAAGACATGGAGAACTAGATTTCACTTTTGATGGGAAGTACAGCAATATCCTGTTGCAAACAGTTATGAGCATAGGAAGGCTTGATTTACTGGCAGCTATTATAATAAACTATCACACCATGAATTAGAGAGTGGTCTGAAACTGTAAGAATCCAGTACCTTTTTTAAACTTGTGATTGATATATACAAGATTTTTAAAGTTAATTACTTTATTATTATTATTATTATTATTAGCAAGACAGAGTACACACACCCGTGGGGGAGGAGAGGGATAGCGGGAGAGGGAGACAGAGAATCTTAAGCACCAAGACAGGGGTTTATCTCACAACCCTGAGTTCATGACCTGAGGCAAAATATAGAGTTGGACGCTTAACCCACTGAGCCACCCAAACGCCCCTCTAAGCTTTGTTTAAAGAATGTGACTATGGGCATTATTAATAGGGTATATTAAAAAAAGAACAAACTGAAAATAAGGAAACAGAGCAGGAGGCTTTTATACTAGTTTATATGAAGATAATGTTTATCTAAATTATGAAATGGACATTTTATCTGTGAACAGGTACTGACTTTTAAAGTATAGTTATGCAAAATATAGTAAGCCTTTAACATTTGAATCCTTAAAACTATGGAATTTATCTTCTTATTTTATTTTCTACTGAAGTATAAAAGTTAAGCATAAATTGTTTCCATTTTCAAATATATATTTTTGTAATAAAATAAGAAAACCTACTTCGCAGAAATATTTGTTACCAAACAGTTGTTCTATTTGGTTATAGTAAGGCTCCATCTGAATAGTCTTATAATTAGCTTGGCTATTATATTGCATAAGGACAGAAGAGCAAATAAACTGATATGAACCAACGCATATGACCTGGCAGCTCAAAATTCCTAAGCATAGAGCAAGGGCAATTTTGCTGAACCATTCTGGAAACCTGGAGGTAAGAAAGAAAAAAAAAAAAAAAAAAAAAAACAGTTTCTGCCTCAGCCGTAAAATGACAAGTACCTTACTATTTCTCTTCTGTCCCTTAGTTTATCTCCCTGTGTACTTACCCACCCATCTACCTACCCACTGGCTGAGATTTTGCCTTAAAAAAAAATTAAGCTAATTAAATATTTTTGATATGTAACCTAGACAAATAGGAAGACTATAATAATTTTTTAAAATTTTTTTATTTTATTTTTTAAGATTTTATTTATTTATTTGTCAGAGAAAGAGAGTCAGAGAGAGAGCACAAGCAGGGAAAGAGGCAGGCAGAGGGAGAAATGGGCTACCCGCTGAGTAAGGAGCCTGATGGACTGGATCCCAGGACCCCGAGATCATGACCTGAGCCGAAGGCAGACATTTAACCGGCTGAGCCACCCAGGCATCCTGACAAATAGGAAGACTATGTTAAAAGGATAGAAAAGGAATTTCTCAAATTTAAACATTGAATATTACCTCTTCGTGGTCATCAAAATTGAGCTGTCTGCTTTTTGTTCATAGAGTTGGAATGAGTATCCAAGAGTAAACACTGATTTTTTTTTGGATAGCTTTGTAGAGGAATAATTTATATACCATACAGTGCACTCATTTTAAGTGTAAATATCAATCATTTTAAATGCATTTACAGAGTTCTGCAATCATCACCACATTCCGGTTTTAGAACATTTTCTATCACCCTTTTCCCACCACCAGCCCCAGGCAGCCACTAGTCTGCTTTCTGTCTTTTTTCTGGACATTCTGTAAAAATAGTATCAGATAGTCTGTAGTTTTCTACATCTGTCTTCTTTCACTCAGCATGTTTTTTATGGCTTATTCATATTATAACATGCATTGATACCTGTTTTTTTTGTTCTCGCTGAATCATATGCCATTATGTACCGATTTATGTGCAAATCTCCTATTTCCCTCCAAGTCTCACCTTAACTTTTTTTTTCTTTTTCTTTCTTCTTCTTTTTTTCTTTTTTTTTTTTTTTCCTTTGCCAGTAATAGTGCTATTTTCAGTACTATGTTAACAATTCTACTTTGGGGACATCTCGTAACAATTTCTAGCTCTCTTACTTTTATACCATTTAGTAGCCTTGTACAGGGGGTTGGTCTCCTGAAAATGACTTGGCAATTGTTAACTCCTCAAACCTTTCACATATATATAGGAAACACACACACATTATACAATAAGATGGCTTCCTGGGGCGGGGCGGGGAGACTATCACTCTTTTGACAAGGAATAAATTTAGCAATTTCTGTCTCTATGTTTCCTGGCATGCATTCAAAATGTTTGTATAAGTCACCTATGGAATTCAGTCTATTTCTTTTACATGCTGATACCCAAGTATACTCTGTGATATTTTGACTACAGTTTTTGGTTATCGATCAAAATAATGCTACATTTGGTTAATGTTGGTAAAAAAAAAAAAAAAAAACACTTAAAAAATATATTTTCCTGAGGGGGAAAAAATATATTATAAGGTTCCAACTTACTGCATGGCTTTATAAAATGTGCTTTGACTTTCACAAGAATAGTGAGAAATAATGAGTCTAATTTGAAAGTTTTAAATTTAATGCACATTTGTTTCTTTAGCATTTGTGGAATCCAACATCTGGAACGAATAGGAAAGAAGCTGAATCTCTTTGACTCCCTTTACTTCTGCATTGTGACATTTTCTACTGTGGGCTTTGGGGATGTCACCCCTGAAACATGGTCCTCCAAGCTTTTTGTCGTTGCCATGATCTGTGTTGCTCTTGTGGTTCTACCCATACAGGTAAAGAGAGCCAGGGTAAATTATATAGAAATGTGCAAATCTTAATAAAATCAGATCTTCCATGCCTCATAAGAAATGCTGGGTGGTTTTTTAATGTAATATATTAACACATGTTATTATTATATCTAGTCAATGAATTAAAATGGTCTCAGGAAATGCTTTTTAACATTATATTAGAAACTGACTTTCACCCTCCATTCATAACTGATATGGCTCATTTCAATTCTTGAAGATGTTTATTTGAAATACATGTATAATATATATTTATATATATAATATATATATTTCATATGTAATATATTTAACTATATTAGTTATAAGATCATAGCTTTTAATTACAGAGTGATAGTTGTAATTACAGAATGATAGGCCAAGGCAATAAAGTTATGAAGGTTTGATTTCTTTTGATTTTTGAAGCAATATAAAAGCTAAACATTGTAATAAATAAAAACTGATTACATATATTGGTCAACTGAAACAAAATCTGTGGATGATTTGTAACTATTTTATATATATATATTATATATATTTTTAATATACATATATATAAAAAACACTCTGGAAGTGGATAAGGTGGTTGCAAAGGAAAAGAGATATAAGGAAAAGAGTTATAAAAGAAGATATAAAAGAGATATAAAAAGAGATATAAAAAAAGGAGATATAAAAAAGAAGGAAAAGAGATATAAAAGGAGTCTGAAGACAAGTAGATGCAATCTCCAAATCTTTCCTACGGTGAGCTCTTGTGTGCCCATAGGTGAGCAGACCAGAAACAGGATATAGGAAATACAAATCAAACTTGTACTTCTGTTTTAAACCTTTGGCCACAGTGTATGTATGTATGTATGTATATATGTCGGTATGAAAATGATCAACCCACTTTTATTCAGTCAGGCATGTGTTCCTTTCTGACATCCCTCCTCTAGTCCCTCCACTTCCTTTATATACCAACTACAACTGTCCAACTAGAAAGTGACTTTGTGTGTTGGGTATCTCGCATTGCATGACATGTGTGCTGAACTTGGTAGAAAAAGGTAGAAGAAATGCCTTTGAGATTTTTCTCTTTGACACAGTGCATGACACATCATGGCTGCCTGGTTTCCTGGACATAAATCAGAGGTACAAACCTTTTAGTGCTGTTATAATAGGAAAATCATATTAATATGTTTCTGTAGAGACCTGAAGCCCCTCAGAAGCATTAGCAACCTACACAGCAATCGCATGAAAAGTCTATTATTGAAGGGAATACAGATAATTTGAATCTCAGTGAGTTCCAGCTAAGAAATTGAGTGTATCTAATAAACAAAGGAGGTATTGCATTGGTTTTTACTTTCACGTCCAATGTTTTTTGTTCATCTGTGGAAAATGTATTGCAGTTTGAACAGCTGGCCTATTTGTGGATGGAGAGACAAAAGTCAGGTGGAAACTATAGTCGACATAGAGCTCAAACTGAGAAGCATGTTGTTCTGTGTGTCAGTTCACTGAAGATTGATTTACTTATGGACTTTTTAAATGAATTCTATGCTCACCCAAGACTTCAGGTACATAGAAATTATGTTACGTCTTTGACTGGATCATAACTAACTAGCATATTGTCAGAGTCAATTAACTGATGGTGCGGCCTGCATTCTGGAGGATTTTTATTTATACACTCAAATTTAGAAAGAGTAAATGAAGAACTACAAATATAACCAGGAACATAGAAAAAATGCCTAAGGAATACACAGTATTTTAAGTTTCCTTCTGTATCTACACTAAAAGACAGATGGAATTATGTTAATGCTACAAAGAAAGGTTTTCTTTGAATTAAAAGGATTTTTTTTCCTCTCTTGGGTAATGCACAAATGACATTTTTATGAAACAGTGGAATTTAATATATCAAACAATGAAAAAGTCATTTCACAATATCATCTACTCACTTGAAATTATTGGAAGTTTTATTAAGTATTGCTGGTAGAAATGTGGAAGTCTGAAAGTTCCGTTTTTCCTTTTGTTTCCCAGAGTGTACCTAGGTCTTATTTATACTAGCAATGAATGACCCAAAACTGGACAATAACTAGTTGAATTGAGAACAATAATTCAGAAAAAAAAATCTCTTCATCTGTCTCTGCTGATAAAATCCTCAGATACTTCTACTCCTTGCTGTGTGGTATTGGGCCAGTGTAGATCTAGGTAATATCCTTTTCCTGCTCAATACACTTAGTTCAGTCCAAATAGTAAAGAGCTACTTGAATGTCTTGTAATTCCTCAATAAATTCGTGTCAAGAGGTTGGACAATCCCAAGATCAAAACAGTACTGAGTATATCTAATTAGATCTCCCTTAAATAGATTTTTGTTTTCATGACTATATTGGAGATCTTTTAAAATACTCTTTAAAAAATATTTTTTAAAAATATAGTTCATAAATAAGCAATGCTTAAATTACATCATACATTCTTTTTCTTCCATATAAATTAATTTGCATTTTTGAAGAAACACCATATTTGTTGTTTTTATTATTATTCATATTAAATAATTGCAGTTTTGCTTATTATATTCCAACAAGAAAACCAATTTTTGGGAAAATATGGTACCCCAATTGTGACACCTATTAATTTATTTTGACTGGTATCAATGTGGAGAATTCTTAAAACTCTCCAAATTTCCACTAGATACATTTTAGATGATAAAATGGTGAATGCTTCTCAGAGAATTGTAATTCCTATTATCAGTGTATTAAACTATTTTATCACTCATAGTGCTCTTGTATTTTCTCCAAAGGACCATTATATTGAAATATGTGATATCAAAGTTTTAAATTTACTTTGTATTATCAATATTTTTATGAATCTTTATCCTTTCAGATAGTCATCAGAGATTTTTCAGTATTATCAGTTCATAATATTTCCAAATGATATAAATCACCATCAGAGTTTCTATTCCAAAAGTAAAAATTTGAAGTTTGAATTGATTTTTAAGTACTTCTGCCCTGTATGTATTATATATTTTAGAATCAGCCTGAAGTTATAATATAACTGAAAACATAAGTTGGAAATGTCTACTGAGTATACACTGATTACCTTCTCTTCATAGTACTAATAAGATTGAAAAACCTTATGTTGGTTTATGAGGTTTTTATATGTCTCAGTTATGTTTATTATAGTATCTTGTTAATTAATGTAGGTCCAGATTTTAAGTGCAAATTTTTACTTGTTAGCAGGAGTTTATTTCTATATCATCATATTTCTAAATGTTCTTAGACATTCTGTTTACTTATGTAATATAAAACACACCTTTATTGATTTTGCCCCTTTGCTCACTTTGTTTTGAATAGGATTATTATGTGGTGATTTTGTGTCCTACTGAAATGGATGTGCAAGTTCGAAGGGTACTGCAGATTCCAATGTGGTCACAAAGAGTTATCTACCTTCAAGGCTCAGCCCTTAAAGATCAGGATCTGTTGAGAGCAAAGTAGGTATCCCTATCTATTTTCCATCTTGCAATACTTTAATATCTTTTCTCTCCTCTGAATTTTAGCAATTTTCAGTCTTGCAAGATGTGTTTAAGTATTTTTGTATACAGAGTCTTGCCATAGTTCCACTGCTGCTCAAACTGAAAGGTTAAAAATATAAAATCAGTGTATTTGCTCCTTTTCTCAGTGCAAGGATGTTCAGTGGACCATGTCCATACAACACAGTGAGGAGTGTGGCATGGTGTAATTATCTCAAGCTGTCAGAGAGGAGCAGAGTTATCCAGCCTCACTGTTAGAGTAGTCTCCAAATGACCACAGTTTTTATTCCACAAATACAATTTTTATTCCACAAATAAAAATGTTGGGCTAACCATTGGGAAATGCCAAAGCAGTTGAGTCAAGGTTTAAGCTCCAGAGTTTGTACTATGTACAGGCAGATGACACTTGTGTTGCCTGGTGTCAGAGATGTCCCTGGGGGCTGGAGGAATAAGAAAGGTAACTGGGTTTTACCTGCTCTTTTCCTGTTGCACGTGTGCTAGCCAACCTGGCTTAAAAGTGACATAGGCATATACCTTTGTCACAGGTCATGGAATTGTTCCATATGAACAGAGTGAAAACATAGTTGGGCGGAAGACCATGGACACCAGGGAGTCAGGGCCTCTTCAAACAACACCCATAGTTTCAGAAGTCAGAGAAAATCTTCAGCGGAGGTGGTTTTGCTCCATGTTTTCTGTTGCTTTTAAAGTTTTAAACATGTCTTTATTGGTGAGGAAGAATGTCCTGTCCCCTTCTAGGTCCTTCCAGCTGGACTAAGAATCAAATTAACACAAGACAGATTAACAGGAGAAAATCAAATTTAATAGTGTATGTACAGAGAATCCACACCGATGTGGAACTTACAGAGACAAGTCAGGCAAAATATGTCACTGTGCACTAAGGAGAAGGGATAGAGGTCTGGGACTACCAAGGGAAGGAGAGCAGGTTATAGGGAGATGAACAAGAGTGCTTAGTATTGTGTAAGATGGATGAATCACAGACCGGTACCCCTAAAACAAGTAAGGGATTGTATGTTAATAATAATTTAAAAAAGGAGTAAATGTTTGGTGAACAAATATTTGCTGGGCCACTCAGAAACAATGGGACATGGAGGACTTTGATCAAACAGGTCTTGCTAGGTTCCTCCCTGCCTGCCTTCCCAGGTTTGTATCATACTGTCGTTATCTATGTTGATGACTTCCTTCCTGGGGCAGATTTTCTATCTAAATTCTTTTCAGGTGGTTGAGGAGGGAGATGAGGAGCTTTCCCGAATCTGCTGGGTGTTTGTTTGTTTGCTTGTTTTTAATCTGCTGGGCTTTGATTGCTTTTTTAGCTCAAAGTAATCTTCAGGCCAATGTGGCCCATCTTGGAGTCACCTTGGATCCTACCTATCCACTTGTCCCTGAGTTGTCTATTGTGCTCCTTTAAATATAAATCTGCTCGCTGAATTTGAGAGCATAAGTATTTTTTTATTTTGCTGTTTTGTTTTTTCTGGATGGCTTGAGTATGTGTGTTGGTGGGAGTGGGCGTGTTTATGCATGGTGTGTGTGTGGTGGGGATGGGGGGGTGTGGGACAGTGGAAAAGAACAGGAGAAAACTCCCAAACTCCTTTTTGGGGCTTAATTCTGCAAAGTGATGACTAGGTATTTTGTAACTTGAACTTTGACATTACCAGACTTTTTTTAATGATTTAATGACTTCTGAAACAAAAAGAAGTTAGTAGAAACCATCAAAATATAGTGAATGGTATGTAATTAGGAAATTTAGCTTCTTGAGAATATATTAGTATTTCTAGTGGATTAAATACTTCATAGATGTTGTCAGTGTACACACAAGAGTTAAGTCAGATTCTCCCAGCACCTCAAGCAATAGATGGCTTTAGGTGTTTGCTATTTGCTATCTATACACATTATTTGGGAGCTCTAAAGAAATAGCTGCTTAGACACTAACATAATTTGGATCTTTACTTTCATCTGCACAGATAATCCGTATGCTTAATTTACCATATGCATTAAGTTCTTCACATAAGAATAATTCCTATATTATGTTCACTATGAATTTATGTGATAATTGAAGGCTTTTTATTACCTAATAAATTAATCTAAGCTATTAGTTTTAGCTGTTAGTATTTTAGCTTGATACTATAGAAGGGAGCAGAATTTGCTACCACAAAATATGCCTCAATGGGATAAAGATTATTGTGAGCTGATTATTTTTAAGAAGCAGTAGACACAGGAAAAACTGAAAACCTAGTAGAAACTAACCCTTTTGTAAGGGACATTCACGTTTATAAGGGAAATCTCCATCCATAAGCCTCTCTCTCTCTCTCTCTCTCTATCTCTATCTCTACCTGGAAGAGGATGACTCAATCTCTGGAAGCTCTTGTGAATGGAGAAGGCAAGGACCTAGATCTGTATAACAACCTTACCTAGATTTACTGTGCTTTTCTTGATAGGTTCCCATAGCTGGCTCCACCATTAGCCAAACATCTTCTGTCTTTAGCTGAAGATAGTGTTTAAGGTGGTGGCTTCATGGGAGAGAAGTTAATTTTCCTGGGTGTCTCCTACGTATACAGGAGGTATACGTGTTGCTAAACTTCTGTTTGTTTCTCTTCTGTTAATCTGTCTTTTTAACACAAAGGGGTCTCAGCCAAGAACTTAGAAGAGGAGAAGGAAAATGACTTATCTTTTTAGTAATTACACGATTTATTTAGGATTAGAAATTCATTTATTATTAATATTATTAAATGATTTCTCAGCAAAATCAATCACATTTACAAAAAGCATTCATTCATTGGAATATACAAAGGATGAAAATGAGGATGAGAGAGGTAGCAGGCTGGTAATACTAAAAAATCTGGGTTAAGAAAGAAATATTCATTTTATGTTCATTTCTTATCCTAATGTCATATAAAGATTTGGGATTTAATGTTAACTAATACATTCTTCAACACAATTTCCCATGCAAGAAACAAGGAGTAGGATTCTCCAAACCAGTTCCAAAGGTCAGTTGCATGAATTTTGAATTGCTTTGTTGAAGATGATGTTTAGAAAATGTTATGTGATATTCATTATCTTGTAACCATGCCTCAATATTTTTCCAAAACTGTTTGGTTTGATCTCATTTCATGGACTTTTATCTTTCCCCTGCATAGAAAAAAAAGTTTGGGGGCGGGGGGAAGGTTTATTTTATCATAATGAAGCAGAAAGATAAAACATTCCTAATTTTGATATTAACATTTTTTTGTTTTTATTTTTTAAAGATATTTTAATTTTTAAATAATTTCTACACCCAAAGGGGATGTTGAATTTATAACCTGAGATCAAGAGTCGCATGTTCTACCGACTGAGCCAGCCAGGAACCCCAACATTTTTATGATTTTAGAATATTATTAATCAAGCACTGAAACCTACTGTTTATCACCAAATTTAAGAAATGTAGAGCTTTAGTATAAGGGACAGGGATTTGGAACAAGATGATGAATCATCTCCAAGAAATGTAAATGTACAGTAGAGTTTGATATAAGAATACTAAGTAACTCTGTTCCTTCTCTCTTAGTTAATTAACTTTGCAGTTAAAATGTAACTAATCATAAAATGAAGGCCAATACAACTCCCTTAAACAAAGCATATATATGAGAAAACATATAAACATCAAAGAGAATAAAATTTGAGGTGTTTTTTTTTTTTATTTTTGTCATTATGAACTATTGAGTTATATAGCCAATTCAACAACAATTTTTTTGTTTCCAGTCCAGTACAGTCACGGTCTGCTAGAAATCTAACTTTCATTTAAGCCTAAGGATACTCATAGTTTATTTGCACTTTGTGTACATTGGACTAAGCATTGGAATTCTATTTTTCAGACACTATGAAGATATTTCAATATATGATTATTTATTTTTTTTGTCTGTATTTAGGATGGATGATGCTGAGGCCTGTTTTATTCTGAGCAGCCGTTGTGAAGTGGATAGGACATCATCTGTAAGTTTCTAAAATCTCTTTCTAATTGTTCTCACCTGAGAAGATTTAAAAAAATTTTTTTTTAAAAATCTGCCTATGTTAAATATAGGTAACTTTAAAATATTACTGAAGGGAAGCAAAATCTCTAAACTGTTTTTGCCATCGTATAAGAATAGCTGCATTATAGACTGTGTCAAAAAAGCTGTTTTTGAAGTAGTATCTACTAGTCCTTGGGTTTTCTGTTGCTCAAAATGAATGTCATATATTTTTATTAAATATGTCCTTTGCTATGTAATGTTGTTAAAATGATCTCAATTTCCTCAACTCAAAACAAAGCAGATGGATCAGGCAGTCTGCATTAGAATCAGTTGGGGAGCTTCTAAAAAAGTATGCATTCATGAAAATTCTATTCAGGGTATATAAAGTAGGGATCTGGAATCCGTGTATTTTTAAAAGATCTCCAGGTGATAGGGAAGTACATCTCAACTTGATACTCTTTAACTTATATGATCTCTGTGATTCATTTTTTTTTTTGGCCTAAAGTTATATAAACTCATAATTAAATTAAATGGTATAATTTACCAAATTATAACTTGTGTTTTTACACATGCATTATGATTTTATTGTTTTTAAAAAGTGCTTTATTATTTTATATTGAGCAGGTACTGTTAACTCCTGTGTTTTTAAGCTAATGAGTTTATTTCTAGCCATATCTGTGGTGCAGAGACAAAGCCCTGATGGCTTCCGTAGTGACTGGGGAAAAGGCAATCTATGCATGGGATCTTTTAGGGATATGATTAGTTTTTTTTTGTTGTTGTTTTTGTTTTTTTTCCTGGAGCATTTAATAGGACAGTCTGTTATATTAATTTAGACTGTGAGTCCTGAATGTGGCAGGCTCTGTGTTCTCCTATGACCTCATTCTAATTTACCTAAAGTTCTTATTCACTTTAAATCTAATTTTCTCATCCTTTATTTGAAGAGAGTTATTAGGGCTTGTATTGTGTCCCCCAAAATTCATATATTGAAGTCCAACCTCATAATGTGAATTTATTTGGAGACAAAGTACCTCATAATGTGAATTTATTTGGAGACAAAGTCTTAATAGAGATAATCAAGTTCTAATGAGCTTATTAGGATGGACCTTAATCCAGTATGACTGGTGTCCTTGTAAAAAGAGGAAGTTTGGAGACAGTTATCAGGGAGAATGTCATGTGAACATGAAGACAGCCATCAATAAGCCAAGAGGAGTGGCTTGAAACAGATCATTTCCTCCTTATCTTCAGAAGGAATCAACCCTGCCAACACTTTGATTTTGGATTTCTGGCCTCCAGGACTGGGAAATAATAAATTTCAGTTATTTGAGCCACTCTGTTTGTTCTACTTTATTACTGTAGCCTACCAAACTAATACAAGACCATAGAGCAAACACAGTTTGAAAAATTTATAAAATATTTCTCTTTGCAATATGTATTTCTAAAAATTCATCTGCTCCCCTTCTTCTCCATGGTTGCTATCTTAATTCAGACCACACCCTTCTCAGTTCACTTAAGTACTGAAATAGTACTTAACTATAACTATTTCAGGAGTTTCTTAATTGGTTTGGCACAGTAGGTGCTCCAAATGTATTTATGGAATAAATGAATTTGAACTGGTCATAATCTACCATATGTTTCCATAATTATTTAACTTATATAATTGTGAATCTTGTGTCCCTTAAGTGGTAACTTTGTTTTAAAGTACTCATAGTATTCCAGTATCAATAACATTTTGAGTAACAAGAAGAAGCAGAAGCATTAATAAATAAAAATATGATATCTTTTAGAGTACCCTTTAAATTGTGAATTTGAGATCATTCAGTTAAACAAATGTGTTTCATTTCTTCCTGACACTCTGCTAAATTGACAGGAAATGAATTAAAAATTTCACTCATTAGGACAAAGGAAATGGTAGATGAGACAGCACTAACACAAGTTTGGAAGCTAGAAAGCAGATGGATGAGTGGTAACCGACTTAGACAGAAGGAAGTTAAAATTTAAGTTGAGAGAGGAAACAAGTCAGAAGCAGGCTGCTTTTTGCAATGGAACCTCAAAAGTCTCAAGAAATAGAGACACCAGATGCTTCTGTAAGTAGGGTTATATGCAGGACTAAACATATGAATAGTATTAAAAGTTTGTAAAAGAAGCAATTAGATTCCCTGAATCCCTTCAGAAATCCATTGCTGATCCCTTTCCCCATCCTGGGAATAGGTTTACTGTTGGCAGAATTTGATCCAGGGATAACTTTCACTCAGAATCAGTAGGTGCAACTGAGCCAAAGATTTGAGTAAGTTGCTCCACTGAAAGTGAGGTGATTGTCTCAAATGACTCAGAAACCTAATAACAAGGTCCATATCTCCACTGGCACAAGATGAGAGGAATTTTCCCTGGAGAAATGGTCCATCACAAGAAAGAATGCTGTGTGTGTGTGTGTGTGTGTGTGTGTGTGTGTGTATGTATAATATATATAATATATACATATATTGTGTGTGCATAAATAGATAAAGTCTGGAGTTCCCTAGAGCAGTATCACAGATTGATCACCCTACAGTAAGGTCTATGTGAAAATAAGATTCCCACATTCAGTGAAGTCCCAAATAGCTTTTGAGTGTTTAATTTCTACATATGTTCAGGTAACAGAGATCAGTGAACATATAAAGAAATTCCTGACAAAGAAAAGAAAGAACGGATGAACAAACATAAGAAGTATAGAGAAAAGGGGGAACTCAGAGGAGGAAACAAACAAAACTGTACAATTTTGGGAGAAGAAATAGATTTTAAAATATATAACAAACTTCCTCAGGATAATATGAGTTGAGGAGAGTGTACATATATAAAACAAGAACAGTAAGAACAAAATAATTGAAGACAAAACAATAAACATTTAATGAGCCAAAAAGAGCTCCTGAAAATTAAAAATAGGGTAACACATGAAAAATTGTATAAAAGGTAACACATGAAAAATTGTATAAGTACTATCCCCAAGATTGGAGAGACTGACACACAAATATGGAGAATAGTAATTTACCTCAGCAAATACTCATGAGTGGAAATCATCCTGGGAATCAGTATAGGGGCAGGAAAATCCAAACTGTAATTGATGAATTACTGAAGGTTCAGTGCAGACAACTTTGAGACTTAAAAAACCCCTGGGAAATGTAGTCATGGGGAAGGGATAACATAATTTTGTGAGATTTACTTACGGGACTTTTACCTGGTTCTCACAGTAAATATGAGAAAAAAATGCCTTTGGGATTTCAGCAAGGGGAAAGGAAAAGGAATCATTTTGAAATACACCAGAACATTCTGTTCCTCTTAACAGGCCTTACCCTCAGGAAAACTAATTAACCAGTTTAACCTGCTGGAAACCTAATTATCAGAGCCTACCCAAGCTGGGCAAGGGTAACTCAATTCCAGACCACTCTGGCCATTCTTTTTCAATTAAGGGGGCTGGGACACTGAAAAAACATTTGTGAAGGTCACAGTCTAGAGGTATTGGCTCACTAAAAGACTGACACCAAATCATGGACTATAGAACAATTTCCCTTATCCCATGGCTCACTCAAATGTGTCTAAAGATCTACTTATTGCAGTTCCTTTAACTTTGTATATTATGACTGGCTATCAAGAAAAAATTACAAGGTATACCAAAAGGGAAAAAAAAAATCCAGTTTGTAGAGACAGCAAGTATCAGAACAGACATAGCAAGGATGTTGAACTTATCAGACCAATCATTTAAAATAACTGATTAATATGCTAAGGGCTCTCATGGACAAAAAAGACAGCATGTTTCAACAGATGGGTAGTATAAACAGAGAGATAGGAACCTTAAGAAAGAACCAAAAATAAATGCTAGAGATTTAAAAACAAAAACATAACAGCAATGAAGAATGTCTCTTATGGACTTATCAGTAGGCTGAACATGGCTAAGGAAATAATCTTTGAACTTGAGGATAACTCAACAGAAACCTACAAAAAAACCTAAAAAGCAAAGTGAACAAAGATTGAAAAACAGCAACAAAAGCCCATAACCAAAATGGAATATCCAAGGCCCCTAGGACAACTGCAGAAGGTATAACAAGTGTAATGGGAATATTAGAAGAAGAAAGAAAGAAAGGAATAGAAGAAATACTGGAAAGCATAATAACTGAGGATTTCCCCAAATTGATAACAGACACCAAACCACAGATCCAGGAAACTCAGAGAACACCAAGCAGAAAAGGTGTCAAAATATATTTTTTATATATGTGTGGGTATATTTATAAATATACCCACACATATATATATATATCTATATATATATATACACACACACACACACACACACACACATATATATCAAAGATAAGCCCCTGAAAGAAGCTGGTGGGGGGAACACCCTAAGTACAGAGGAGCAAAGATAAGAATTTCATCTGACTTATCTTCAGAAACCATGCAAGGAAAAAGAGAATGTAGTAAAATATTTAAAATGATGGGAAATAATACAGAAGGGAAGTCAATGTCAGAATTTAGGGCACCTGAACAGAGGGACAAGGAGAAAGGCCTGGGTCCTGGTAACTGAATGGAGTTTTAGGTTTGGACAGATGGCAAATAAGAAAAACCAATATCCATGAGTGGCACTAAGTATATGGTATTTCTGCTCTTTTGGCAAAGACTGAAGAGTCTCTCAACTGTTTTGTGTTTGTGTGTTCAGGGCCTTATAGAAGTGTCTACAGTCCTTAGAGAAACAGACTTTCAGGACTTGATTACAAAATGGATGATAGACTATTCCTAGTGTGCTCAAATCTGGACACACCAGTAGGCAACCGTTCATCTCTTTTTAAAATCATTTTTACATATGTAGGAACAATGATCCAATTAGAGATTTATTAGGGAAAAAATAGGAATCCAGAAAAATGTTGCACTATGCTAAATAGCTATGTGTTAGTACTGAGGACACCATATTGCTTGATAATGAACATACTCCCATTTTAGCTTTTGTCTTAG